ACTCTGAATTCTTTCATCATCAAACATGTTTTCCATTTTTTGTATTTAGAATGAATTCCTATCAAAATCATATTTACCTATAAGTTAATTTTTTAAGCTTATTTAAGCCCCCGTTTAACTCCCATTAATTGTGATTATAATGGGGGAATAGTTTTTTTTTAATTAATAATTGTAAAAAAAATGAAAAAATTTCGATTTACGTGTAATCTTATTTTATTGAAAATTGTGTGATTGAAAATGGGAGAGAAAAATTTAATTTTATTTGAGGAGATTTAAGCCGTCGTTTGGCTATAATTAAATTTCATTACATTTTTCTCTCTCATATTTTTAACCACACAATTTTTCATAAAATAATATTATACGTAAGTCGAAAACTTTTCATTCTTTTTCAATCACTTATTTTTTTAAAAAATATTATTCCACTCATTTTCATTTTTCGAAAATGGGGGCCAAACGGGGCGTAATGAGGGCTGGCTACGCTGATTTCAGAAATTAATTCCCATCAAAATCCTGAATTTGTTTAAATTGTAATGCAAGGTTTTGCCTCGAACAAAGTTTTGTCCCTGTTTTAGATAAAAGTGGGATTTTAGTAGATTTTGAAAAATTTAAATAAAATAAAATAAAATAAATGGTTGAAAATTATATAACTATTGAAATGTCTAAATAAAATTGATGATTAAGGTTAACTAAGATTTTAATCATTCTTTTAATTGAATCAATGGAGCTTAATTAACAAAACTTCATTTTCCTGATGCCTTAGGTTAATGGATTATATTTCAGGTACAGGAGAGTTTCACAGGTTTTTCACAGGATTTCGAATTGGCTGACGTGGCAATTGACAAAAATTGAAAATCAAAAAAACAAAAACACTAGGGCCAAACAAAACGAGGGAGAACCACACAATTAGTCTCAAAATTCCCTCCACCTCGACGGCCGACTTCATCCCTCAGAATCGCCCAACTCGCTGGCATCGATCGAAGGTCGTCCTTTTGCCGGTCTGTTGTCCATCTCTGACCAATATTCGAACCTCATTACAGTTTACTGAAGCCAATAAAAAAAGGAAAGAAAAAGGCGTGAGTTTGACTCACTGTGGCCATTATTCTCGCCTTTCTTACTCTGCTTCCATCCTCCGGCAGGCGCATCCAGTGACCGTCAAACGACCAGTGTAGAAGACACCTCCGACGAGCCATTTTGGAACGACCGTCCACTGTTACTATAATTTTCCCCCAAAGCAGGCACCGAACGAACAACGTAGTATTTTAACCCAGTCACATCTCTTCCATGTTTTGAGCTTCCATAATCCTCGTATGAGATGCCATTTCACTGCCTTATATTCGAACATGGTAGTATTTTAACGAACTCGGATTTCACTGCCTTAATACCCGTTTCAGCTGCCATTTTCATGTATGAAATTTTCGCTACCCTAATTTGTTCTCGTAATTTGTTCCTGTAATTTTATTCATATTATTTCTTCCAATGCATTTCTTGTTATAATTTTAGGAGTTTGACAGACCTGTGATAAACTTCAGTAAGAATCTCCTGTGAGTGCTAAGAAAAATTCGTTGTGGAGGTAAAATGTCTAACAATTTCGGTTTATGGTTGTGGGCTTATATCAGCTATGTGATTGCTATGTTCGATTTTGTTGATGTTAGTAGTTATATTTTTTTCAGTTGAAGGGAGGCTCGGGATGAGTCAGTTAGATGCGTAACATTGTGTTATCTGTCTGCAATGAGTGTGTTGTCACTCTTATGAATGCAAAACGAGTAGTTTTTTCAGTTGAAGGGAGGCTGGGGATGAGTCATTACATTGTGTTTGTAATGAGTTTGTTGTGTTGTTAATCTCAGGATGAGAGGGCCAAATTTTGGAGTTTGTCATAGTTGAAGAAGTACGATGCATTACTTCAAGGATTGCCCGACAAAAATTCGATGCCCGTGGTGTCCACGTGGAATCCAAAAGTGTTTTGAGGTTGTGAAGAGCATCGATAATAAGGGGCGATTATTCAAAACTTGTAGTGAGGATTGTGGGTACTTTGACTGGGTTGAAAATGAAGAATCAAGTGGCGAATCTAGTGCCGTTAACGAACCGGTGACTGTTGTGTCCAACGAGGAAACCGAAGAGTTACCAAGCATGTTTGACTCTCTTGCTCGAATAGCCGACAAAAGAGGCATTGAGATTTCAATGACCGTGACATTTCGTAAGGAAAAAAACACGCGGATGAGTGTGGGAAAGGAAAGGGCCCGGCACGGCATGCATAGTAGTTAGTTGTCGAATGAATTGTATTTGTATTGTGTTCGTGTTGTATTATTATTTATTATAGTTCCTTTAGGTGATAAATTATGGTGAATGACATGTTGCATAAATTATGGTGAATGACATGTTCCTTTAGGTGAATGACATTATGGTGATAAATTATGGTGAATGTGTTGGGAATTTACTTAAACATGCACAGTGGAATTTAACAAGTTTCAATTTCCATTCAGGATTTAGCTTTGTATTTAGATAAAAACTGTGATGAGAAATATACATTTACTTGTGATTTGCAAACTCTTTCGCGTTATTCCTTTCCAGCAGCTTGAATCTGCCTCCCACGGCTGTCCAATTGTCCAGCCTCCAATGAAATCCACACAGAGAGTAGACAGCAACTGCTAGGGTTTCTTTTTTGTGCTAGCAAGAATAATGAATAACTTATGGACCTCAAACCCTAGCTGCATATATATATAAACCCAAACAGACCCGGCCCGGTCCGGTCCAATATTTAATTAATCTAATAATCAAACCCGGCCCGTGAATTAATTAATCCAATTAATTAATTTGGGATTATAAATAACAAATTAATTAATTAATTTATCCAACAATTGTTAAATTAATCAATTGAAAATTTGCAGTCTTTCAATTCTCTTTTGTGTGCGACCCATTAGGTTCCCAACCACGATGCCTAACGTCGTGAAATATTATTTTGATCTAATCAAAATTGATAAATTAATACACCATTTTAATTTATCGTCAATTCACATTCGCCGTCCCTGATTGACATCTAGCAATGTGTCAGGGCAGTACATGTGACGGGAAATGTCACGTGGTATGACAAAACCAAATTCTTCCGTTTATCATGGAACTATTATCCCTTCGTCAATACGATCCAATCAATTACGAGATATGGAATTGTGTCAATCTCGATCATTGATCATATCTTTCACTCCACTATTAAGTCAATATAAATCGAAAACTCCTTTTCGACTTATGAGTACACCTTGGCCAAGGATTTCATCATCGACTTAATTAAATGAAACGCAGATCATAATCTCATAAGGGGCGATTATTCAAAACTTGTAGTGAGGATTGTGGGTACTTTGACTGGGTTGAAAATGAAGAATCAAGCGGCGAATCTAGTGCCGTTAACGAAGCGGTGACTGTTGTGTCCAACGAGGAAACCGAAGAGTTACCAAGCATGTTTGACTCTCTTGCTCGAATAGCCGACAAAAGAGGCATTGAGATTTCAATGACCGTGACATTTCGTAAGGAAAAAAAACACGCGGATGAGTGTGGGAAAGGAAAGGGCCCGGCACGGCATGCGTAGTAGTTAGTTGTCGAATGAATTGTATTTGTATTGTGTTCGTGTTGTATTATTATTTATTATAGTTCCTTTAGGTGATAAATTATGGTGAATGACATGTTCCTTCAGGTGAATGAAGGTTATATTTTTAGGTGCATAATATTAGATACAAAGCATATTTACAATACTCTTCTTCAATTTAGATGTAACCAGACTTTGCTTCGAAAAAGGACCTTCATGGGTGCACACCGCTTCATGTAGCGTGCTGCAAATGACAATTAGATATAACGAGAAATTCTAAAGTTGGATTCAAATCTCTCCTCGGCACAAGATAGTGAAGGCAAAACACCCCTCCATTATGCAGCAATTAAAGGCAGAATAAACATAATTGTTGAAATACTTTCTGCAAATATTGGATCTGCTGAGATTATTACATTCAACGAGGAGACAATTCTGCATTTGGCTGTCAAAAATAATCACTTTGAAGTGGTTAAGTACTTACTGGAAAATTTTAATATTTCAAAACTTCTTAACTTGCATGATAGTGATGGGAACACCATTCTGCACTTGGCTACTGCAGGAAAACTCACTGTTCTGCACTTGGCTACTGCAGGCAGATTTGGCAAGACACCCATTAGTGGAGATTTTTCAAGATAATAGTGCTTAAACATACCATACCATACCATCTAGCAACTTGAACTTTTACATCAGCTCTTAAACATACCATACCATCATACAATACCAGTTCAAAACTCACGAAAGTGCTTTCATTATTGGATTTATTATAACGCATAATATTTGAATGCTTATAAGGATACATTAATAAGGTCTATTGCAATTGAAATTTTCCATTTATATTACAAGACTAAGAGAGCTTGTATACAAGTAATGCAATTTTCTGCCCTCACTTGACCACAAATAAAAAAATCAATTTAAAATTTGGAAAATCATAATCATTATCCTATCTCTACCTCATTGCCAAGAAGGAAAGCAATGCTCTTCCTGAAAGTATTTTCATTCACTGCCACAACATTCTTTGTTATCTCCACACCACATATATCATCAGTCACTTTCCTAATCAATGCATACATTGCACAACTTGGAAAAACATAAATTCAAAGCAAAAACTCGCAAGATTGCCATTCCCTTGAGTAAAGGAAATTACATAAAGGGTAGAAATTACAGTTGTCGACAAAGTCATGGACATAAAGGGTAGAAATTACATAAATATCTTCTTTCTTGATGCAGTTATTCCAGAATTCTTAGTCATCTCTAAATTATCTAGATTGATCCTTTGGAGAGTTTCCAATCGAAGTTAGAGAAGAGTTGAGGAAGCTCAACTCCAGCTATTTGAAAAGTTATACCAGGGCACATTCTTCTTCCTAATCCAAATGGAAGATATTCAAAGTTATTTCCCGTGAATTCCATACCAGGGCACATTCTTCTACTAGCTCTTGGCAGAAGGGGAATTGCTGTATGCATCCTCAGAGACCATAGCCCAATTAGTTATTGATGATGATGTATCTATTCCTACTGAGAACATATCCTATATAATATCCACCAGTCTTGTTAATTAAAATAAAATTAGGAGTTAATATTACCTATAGAAGATTAAGTAATAGCCACAAACTTACAGAAATAACATCTTTAATGTTATCGTAGTTAATAGGAATGCCAAGTTCTCCATTTTCCTTTACTCGCGAAGAATTAACATTAAACCCATATACCTTTATGATCCACCCTTGATCCTGCTACATTGTTTTGATTCTAAACTTTTCACAATGCATTCAAAACTATTGAAAATTCATGAACTCTGCTTTCAGTATTGATTGAACTCCAAAACTGCAGAAAATTCGTCATTACAGAAAATTCTCGAATGCCTTAGTACCCAAAACTGCAGCCACAAACAATAATTCTACAAACCAATCAACACAAACCCATTTTAGCACTTAGAACGAAATATGATTTTTCTCGGCAATTATCCACTTGGTAAAAAGTCTATCATAAGATGAAGAATGCATACTAATCGAGTTCAAAATGAAATCAAAATATGCACAGTTCAGGACCTTTCCAAAAGAAGGCTCATCAAGTTCGATTGACTTCAAAATTAACCAAATGTTAGCTACAACTAAATAGGCCCGAATGAAATTCAAAATTTTTACGTTCAAGTGCTTGAATGCGCAAAAGTGAAATCCACAAGCTCTTCATCGAAACTCTTGCTGACTGCCACTGTCACCCTATATTGGCGTAACACCCAAAATAAGGCTCATAGCAAACGAAATTAATGAACTGAAAACATTAAACCCAACGACCTCAAAACATACATACCAAAAAGGACTGTGAACATGCGAATGGTGACAGTGATGAATACTGTTGAGAGGCGTTAACATCTGGTGCAGCTCCTTCCACAGTACTATGACTACCTTTCGGTCTCCTGCCTTTTGCTGATGTCGAAGTTGCCTGCACTTACATCAAATTCATATTAGAATAATTAGAGTTAGAGTTCAGTTTAAAATAGGAATGAAATAGAAATAAATACCTTTGCTTTCTTTGACATTAACTCCAGCGGCCCTTTTCGTCGAAGTTTCTTCGATGCACCCTTTCGTTTCGATGATATAGGATCTAGTACGTTGACACCCGAATGCTTTTGAGAATTAGTTTCGTGAGAGACTACATGAATGGGATGAGTATCACTACTCGACTTAAGCTCCTCCACCTGAACTACTGCACAATTTCACTTTTCATCATTCACAGCAAGGTCAGCCACCTCTGAAAATACCCGACACATATCCTCGTACCTCAACTGTGCCGGAGTAGAAACCAACCCAGCATAGTACACTTCCACCCTCGTGTGTGCTCTACTAATGTCCCTCCTCCATCGTCGCAATATAAACTTATCCGACAATAACTTGACATCATTACGGATCAAAACAATGACTGCATGTCTACAAAGTATCCCTCGGAACTCGAACAGGTGGTAACTACAAACAATGTCTCGGGTCTCCCTTGTAAATGACACGAAAAAGGTCCTTTTCGTTCGAGTCTCTCCATATAGAAGGACATCCTCCCACACCTCGTAAATCGTGCATTCAGAACCCTCTGAAACAGAAACGATGTCACAGTAAACCTTCCCAATGAACTCATTCTGAACCTCCCTGAACTTTGATATGGTGTAAACTTTTTGAAATTGCTTTTCCATATCGAAATTCGTTACACATGGTACCATTTGCGCGTACGACTTGAAGTCAGCCTGAAATTCCTTTTCAACCTTGTTCCGCAGTGCTCTTTCATATTGTTCAACAAATTGTTTCAAAGATGTTTTCGAATGAACATATCCATCGAAAAAAGCATTCATAATCTCGCTTCATTGCGTTGTGGACATTCCGGCCCAAAATGTGGTTTTCAAAAAACATGGAACCCAACGGCTTCTGTTTGCAAAAAATCCCGCCAACTATCAATCATCGCTCTCCAACCTTCTTCAAACTCATCAAGGGTCTGCGAATCATACACTAATCCATGTATAGTAGAAAATATCGAAGCCTTGTCATCATGATACCCGAACTTCTCAGGCAACTTCTTCAAGATATGCCACAAACACCACCTGTGCTTTGTATGTGGAAATACAATCTGAATTGCATTATGCATTGCCTTATCTTGATCAGTAATTATTCTATTTGGTGCTTGACCGTGCATGCACTGCAACCATGTCCGGAATAACCTCACAAATGTAGCGGTGTCCTCATTAGCTATCAAGCTACAACCAAGCAGTGTTGATTGTCCGTGATGATTGATGCCAAAAAACGGGGTGAACGGCATGTCATACTTATTAGTCAGGTATGTCGTATCAAATGTGACAACATCACCAAACTTTTTATACGCTTGTCTACATCTATTGTCTGCCCAGAATACATTCTTAAGCCGGGACTCATCATCTAAATCCATACTGAAGTAAACTCCTGAGCACCGTGCTTGCATATTAGCAAAATAAGCTTGTATTGCACCAGCATCTCCTTCTCCGAGCCGTAATCGTCGTACTTGTTCAATATAATTTCGACAATCTTTCTCGATGAATGTCATAGACTCATAACCACCTGCTTCCACCATTGTGGAGTTATAGCTTTTATGCAACGGAATTCCTGCAATATCGTTCACTTCAAGCTTTCGTTTGACATTTGTAGTCAGCTCTCAATTGCATCGATATAGCCTTGACTTCGAAGGGCTCGTTCTGTGATTGTGATCCAGGTGGGCTGTATTTACTCTCCATTTTCCATTACTCAGTAATGATGCCGAGATCCTTGCTTTACAATCAATTTGACTAGTTGGTTGCTGCTTCAAAGAATTGCTTGTACCATAAATTCTTCTACCCTCACGACTACAAGTAAACATTACATATCGCACAACACCATCATCCCCCTTTTTTGAATTCCGTTTCCTAACTGGAAAACCCACTTCATAAGCATATTTTTTATGGAACTCAAACATTTCTTTCTCATCATCGAACATCATACCCACCTCAGACACATTCACACCATCTTTACCAAAGTTATCATTTCCACCTATGTTCTCATTCGTGACACCGTCATTCCTAGTTTCAACCAATAAGTCATGGTGCTGCTCTTCCATAGTTACTAATCCTGAGATGAAATAAGCATTACAAAGACATTAACGCATAATAGTCCAATAATATTTGTGAACAACAAGCAAGCAGACCGTTAGACAGATCACTGGGGCTAAACACAATCCTGTTTAAATTTTTGTCATGTGCCACAAGTTTGAGAGCTTATAATTCTTACATGTTTTTGTCTTCTGTAATGATATTAATAAATATCTTCTTAGGATAAATCATCAGGGGATTGACTTAAATACCCTAAACACAATAAATGAAATAAAAGGAAGAGAAAACCAAATCAATAGAACATTGGCTGTAAATGTACATTAACAAAACATTTTTACCGTTTATTACAGCTTCTTCCCTGCCATTTCGAGACCACGTTTAACTCACAATACCACTGCAACACTACATCTTGCTATTCAATGTGCAATACCTAGTTAAGCTGCAAGTAAAAGTTTCAACAATACCTTTCCCGGTGTCGGCAACAGAAGCTTCCAACTCAATCTCTCAAAGCAGTCGCGGCTTAATTTGTCGGAGATGAAGAACGAACCTGGAAAATGAGGACTCAACACCGTTGAAGATGAGGGCAAATAGTAAAGAACGAGCTTCAACAGTAACAAACGCACTTCAGTCGACGAGCTTCAGACCACGACCAAAACTTTCCTGGTTCATCACGACCGAAATGAAGTGGAGCTTAAGATTACGAGCCCCGGCAAACTGGAAGTGAAGCTTCAGTAAACTGTAATGAGGTTCAAATATTGGTTAGAGATGGACAACAGACGGGCAAAAGGACGACCTTCGGTCAACGCCGGCAAGTTGGGCGATTCTGAGGGATGAAGTCGGCCGTCGAGGTGGAGGGAATTTTGAGACTAATTGTGTGGTTCTCCCCCGTTTTGTTTGGCCCTAATGTTTTTGTTTTTTTGATTTTCAATTTTTGTCAATTGCCACGTCAGCCAATTTGAAATAATGTGAAAAATCTGTGAAACTCTCCTGTACCTTAAGTATAATCCTAGGTTAATTATCACAAAGCAATCATAATGTCCTTTCCAGTAACACACTCAATCAGACACTGAAATTTATTGTCCCTTCTGTTTCAGGTACCTATTTCTTCTGTTTGATCGCTATAATCAATATTCAAAGATTGGTGCAATTATTAGTTCTTAGAAATTCTTGTTAATTCGAAGTTGAATTAAGCAGTTAAATTTTGCTTAAATTCTAAATTTTCATTCGAGGTTTTAATAATTTAAATCGCACAATTTTATTGAATCCTTTATTGTTCTTAATGCTTAGAAATTCTTGGTAATTTGAAGTTGAGCAGTAAGCAGTTAGTTTGTATTAGTTTTTAAAATCATTTGACGTTTTGATACTTTTATCGCACAATTCTGTAGTGTTTACTCATAATACAAACCAAGTGTGGTTTTGGTTTATTAATATGTATTTTTAATAATTTTATAGAAATTTTTAAATGTTTTATTGCCATTGTTAAATGAACTTAGGGATTGAGCAAAGCTGTGGTTATTCTGTAGAGGAATGACGGAGCAACGTATTATAATGATTTGGTTTACGATTTTGATGTTATTATTGGTGAAGAATAGTAAAGAGGTAATATCAGCTTCCAACTACTTGATCGGCCTCGGAAGCTATGACATCACTGGGCCAGCTGCTGATATTAACATGATGGGTTATGCTAAAACGTATCAGACTACATCCGGAATCCACTTGAGGTTGCGAGCTCGTACATTCATAGTGGCGGAGCCACAAGGAAACCGGGTTGTGTTTGTGAATATTGATGCTTGTATGGCCTCACAAATCGTGACACTTGAAGTACTCAAGAGGTTGAAGGCAAGGTTGTTATTTGCCTCCTAACTATGTCTTATCCAGATTTTTTGGTGCCAGCTTTGGACAGTACTTAAACAATTTTTAGCGTCTTTTTGTTATTTAACCTTTTCCATTTCCAATACCATATGCCAATCGTGCACTTACAGAATTTGTTATCTATTGCGGGGTGTCAAATACAAAATTACAACCTTTCCTTATTATTAATATCCTGTTATAGCAGTGTTTTAATATTGTGGATATTTGATTAAGCATGTAATTGTTGCTATTACAGGTATGGGAATCTTTACACAAAAAACAATGTTGCTATTAGTGCCACTCATACCCATGCTGGCCCAGGAGGGTATCTTCAATATTTTGTATATCTTATAACATCCTTTGGTTTTGTGCGCCAATCCTTTGATGCCCTTGTTGATGGCATTGAGCAGAGCATCATACAAGCACATGATAATCTTCGACCTGGATCAATATATATGAATAAAGGTAATGGAATTTGGTTTTAACGCCATTAGTTTGTTAAAGCAAAAGTGATAAAAAGCAACTTTTTTATTTATATTTGATTGAGTTGATTCCACAGCATTGTGCATAGATGTTGATATTATGACAGTAATAGAAAAAATAATTTTATAGTAATTAGTCTTTCATCCACTTTGTGCAATGAACGCAAAGAAAATGACATACTTTTGTTGGAGAAAAGAAAAGCAACCAATTAAGCTATGTTATTTTCACTTGTGTTTTCTTCTCATTTGACAATATAAATGTATGGCAACTGCCCTCCAGCATTTCTCAGTCTCTGTGTTTTACCAAATACTGACGTACTAGAAACTCCTAATCATTTAACTGACCCTTTTAGTGATCTTTTTTTTCACTAGATTTCTACTTTTGCAGTCACTAATAGTATCAGTTTAAATGCCTTCTAAAAGTGTTTTCATTTGCATACTTCTCGCACACATGGTATTGCCCATAAACTAATCTCTTAAACTTTCTGAAGCTTTGACTTAGCACAATCTTTTTTTGTTATTTTTGAATCTCTATTTTCCTTATTGAAGGGTGCAATTTCCTTAATTACTTATCTCCATTTAACCCCAGGCTTCTTTTGTTGCCTGTTGTGAAGTTAAATTTGCCTTTATTAGCTGGCCTTGGATTTTTGTATTAAAAATAACTGCTCTTCCTTTGTTTATATTGTTTGAGTTTATCAAGTGCCATCGATAGCAGAATGGCTAGAGGTCACTTCCTTTAGCCTGTTGGCTTTGATTTTGTGGTCCACACACTTTTGTTGGTTTCTGGTGGAATAGCAATCAAGAAGGCATGAACAGTAATTTGAAGAAAATTGTCAGTAATGCATATTTGACCTCTGGATACCATTCTCACTAGGTTTGGCCTTGAATTTGCAGGGGAGCTTTTAGACGCTGGTGTAAATCGCAGTCCAAGTGCTTATCTCAATAACCCTGTAGAAGAGCGCAATATATACAAACATGATGTTGATAAAGATATGACTCTTTTGAAGTTTGTTGATGATGAATGGGGTCCAGTAGGTAGCTTCAGTTGGTTCGCAGTACATGGAACTTCTATGAGCCGTACAAACCCGCTGATAAGTGGGGACAACAAAGGAGTTGCTGCACGGTTTATGGAGGACTGGTTTGATCAGGATTGTAATGGAAATAAATCTTCTGATGCATTCAAGGCTAAAGTGAACCCACCAAGAATCTCAAGCATTATTCCATTTGTTCATGAAATTCGTACGTATTATATACTTATCCAAATAATGTTGCAGTATTATATAAAATATCGTTGTTTAAGTGTTGACTTGTAGAAATGTGTGACCGCATGTTTCTAGTTCTTTATGAGTGTGATAATGAGGGTCATAACCTATGTACTTATCCTCCTGTAACATTTTTGTTTATCTCGCTACTTGCAATTTTGAAATAAGAAGGTAATTTACCTTGGAGCATTTCATTGTGGCTGTCTCAAAACAGATTGTGAGTTACATGAACTTAATGCTTCTTTCCAATCTTCTTCGAGCAAACCAGCAATCAGATTTAAGAGCCTTTCAAGACGGGTACGGAGTGCTCTCAGGCAAGCAGATAGGCCTAGATTTGTATCAGCATTTTGTCAGACCAATTGTGGAGATGTTAGCCCAAATGTTCTCAAGGCCTCCTGCATAGATACAGGGTCACCTTGTGACTTCAATCATAGTACCTGTGGTGGGAAAAATGATTTATGCTTTGGCCGAGGTCCTGGGTATGCATACTTTCATAGTTTTCTATTTGGCAGAAGCATGTCCTTTCTTTGACAATTACTTCAGGAGTGGATTGTACTGATTCTGATTTAAACTATAATCTCATCTCTTGGTTGCATGGCAGTGCGGATGAATTTGAAAGTACACGTATAATTGGAGATAGACAATTTAAGAAAGCAGTGGAGCTTTTTAATACGGCATCTGAGCAATTAAAGGGAAAGGTTGATTTTCGCCATACTTATGTGGATTTCTCCAAGCTTGAGGTGACTATTTCGAAACAAGGAGGAGGCACCAAGGTTATAAAAACCTGTCCTGCTGCAATGGGGTTTTCATTTGCTGCTGGGACAACTGATGGACCTGGTTCTTTTGATTTTAAGCAAGGAGATGTCAAGGTACTACTGTTGGACATATATTGTGTAAATCACAGTTGTATACGATCAGCAAAGAGTAGTATATATATGTTCTATGTATCTTTCTATAATTCTCCCCCAACTGTCCTCTCGTCAGGGGAAGGCATTTTGGAGATGGTTGTCCTACTTACTTAAAAAGCCAAACCAGAAGCAAGTTGATTGTCAACATTCAAAGCCCATTCTGTTTAATACGGGTGAAATGAAAGTGCCTTACGATTGGTCGGTAAGCTACCATCGTATTACTATATGTTACATTCTTATATTATTGGATTTGTATTTTTCAGACATTTTCAGAATGGATAGAAACTCGCAATCTTTCAGTATATCTTTTAATTGCCTAGCTCCATCAAATTTGTAACTTAATATCTGGAGGGCCTTGGATCTGGGAATTAAATATTGTAGTAAAAACTTACCAACTGAAACTGCCCAATCTTGAACTGTAAATAATTTCTGTCTATCCATAATTTAGATCAGATGTGTCTATGCCCTTTTGCATTTTTATTTTTATTTTTTATTTTTTATAATT